TAAAAGATTATCATATTTTTTTTCCATCTTACATTCTCTTTTTATTTTCTACCAAAAAAATTTAATTATCTTATTAGAGATTACTTCTATAGTATTTGAATTTTTTTTGTATATATAATTTATATATCATATTGTACATATGTGAGTTTGTATATATGGCGGGGAAAAATAAATTATTTGTCTTTAGCCCCTCCAATAATATAATCCGAATTCCGTCCCTGATTGCAACCTTGACATGGAAAATCAAAATTTGGGTGGCTGCTATACGCCATGTACTACAATCACTGTTGTATGGTTAATGGCGGCTTATTTTGTATTCCATTCATTTCAACGATATGAATCGTTCGTCTTTTAAAATATATCAACTAAAATATATTTGCAAAAAATTTAAGTTGTTGAGATATCTTTAGTCTTTCATCAAGCTATATTTGTATTTAATTTTATACTTCAAATTGCACTTACCATTCATTTTTCAAACATAAATGTGATTTGATGAAAGGTCTACTAAGTCCGATCAATTTGATTCGCATGTATGTTCTATTCGATAAAAGTGAATAGTTTAGATTATCGAAATAGAACCCAAAATGAACCCAACAACTGCACAAACCACCCCAGTTCCTGGAAGATCTTAAGCATATAAGTAGGAGTAATAGACCCAGATGACACTCCTTGAACATCACAATCACAGTAATTAATCATTCATAAAACTGCAATAAAACCTTGCCCCTTAGATCTTATAGTCTACCGAACCTATCACGCCAAAGCAATGTGCACAATTTGATGTAACTTGAAACTTTTGTTTAATGAATTATTGATAAAATTGTGTTTAATAGACACTGGTAATTGATAGTTTGTGTAGTTAATAGATAGTAGTTGTTTTCTATTTTAAACCTCTGTACCTTGTTCGCCAGTTTGTCCATTTGGCCACATGTATAGTTTGTCAAAAATCTTTTGTTCTTGATTCACTTTGGTACATTCACTTACGCTAAACCACCACAAAAAGGCCAAAAATTTACTTGTACTGTTGTATAGATGGAGCAAATGTTTAACACCAAATTGAAGCTTTCCATCTTGTGTTGTTTCCATCCTTTACCCATTCTATTTTCATTCTTATTTTAGTCGCATGTAACATGACTGTATATGAATTTCGGAAGATATAGCTAAAAATATGGGTATCAGAGAGAACATTAAAGTTCCTTTTAATGATGAAACTTGACGGTGGAATTATTACTATGCATTTTAAGTTCACTTATGTAACAGAGAAAATTATGATCTTGTAGGAAAAGTAATATACTAAAAATTTATCTAGAACGATGTTTTGGCGTCGCTTTTGAATTTAAGAGCCAATTTCATGGGAATTTTATTTTAACATAACGTCTTTATTCCTAATTAAGCCACATCATTGTGTAAATTAGCTACCAAAAAATCAAGAAAAAAGACAAACCGATATACCAAAAAAATTTATATCTTAGAGCAACAAACAAAACAATGCACAGTGGAAAATCTCTCAGGAACTAATAGGAGCATCGGTGGTCAACACGACGTTTTCTTTTGGTCAATCAGTAAGAGATTATATATATTCGACAATTAAATAAACCCGACAACCAACCTAAGAAATAACTCATAAAGGGAAAGGAATAAAGAAAAACAACAAAACCCCATAATAAGAGAAATTATTGATCAGTGCATTTAGCAAAAATTGATCCCTGACCTCTCACGTAAAAGTGTGTAAGGGGGTGGTCACCACTATTACATATGAAAGAGTTGATTCTGGATGAAAGAAAGGATCCCTTCCATCTTAATTATGTCCAATATAAAATACACATGATATTGACAATTTTCCTTCTATTTTCTATGGAAAATACACATCCTAGACACCAAAGAATGTATACTAACATCTACAACTTGAAGACAAACATGACCAATACCCCTCCCCTCCTCTAAATTAAAAACATAAATAAAGAAAAATTACCAAAGGAGGCTGCAGGTTTTGGATAAGCTTCAATGGTAATGTAAAAGGGTAACAACTCTACCAAAAAAGCCCTCTATATATGATGCTTTGCAAACTGAACCACAAATTTATAGTTTGATCAAAGTATTGAATCCTCAATTATGATTCCTAGGATATAGATATACGTAGCTATGTGTGTGTGCGTGATGTTTTATGTACAATAATTTTGAGAGATTTGAATCCTAACTCTTACAGATCACACTTTTCTTACTCATCTCAGTAAAGAAAGTGGTATGCATCTATGATTTAACACCTCTAGTTCTGCAAAATAAGACGTTAGCTATTTTAAAGATATGCTATGTAGCAGATAGATGAATTTTCATCAGATACAAAAGTAGCACTGAAGGGGAAGAATGCACAAGCAGAACAACCATATAATTCAACTCTCTTCATGTTCATTAAGTTTGTCACTTGTTCAGTGCAACATGTAATCTAAGAATTTTTGTTTTTTTTTTTTTTTTTTGTTACAGGAAAATACTCTCACTCTCCCGCAAGTCCAAGGTAGCGTCCCTCGCAGAGACTACCAAGGTGTTTTGTTGTCCATTCCAAACAAAAGACTATAACCTGAGAACTTGCCCTACCACTCAAAACAAGTTCCGCTTAAGTCAAGACTCAAGCAACGAGAGAGTATTGAACGCACACCAAGTACTGTGGTAACAACTTGCTTAACTTCCTAACCAACTGCACTACATCAAGGGGATTGGCCTAAGGAGTTTCGAACTTGAGACCTAGGGTCTTAACCCCCAGGCCTATGCCAAATGCGCTACTGCCTTGGGTTAAATCTAACAAGTTACATACTAGTAACAACACAATTGTGTTAAATATATGACACAAAGCTCCTGTTTTTGAGCTAACAGTTTATAGATTGTTTTGTTAGTGAATATTTCACTTGATATTTCAAGTCTCAGGTTTAACATTCAACATTTTATCAGTATTAGACTACGGAAAGAAAGCATAATGGAATGGTGTTGTGATCACAATCCATTTTGTTATTGTATAATGAATAATTCACTACTGTTAGATAATTTTTTGATTGTTTATAGCAACCAGAGTGAAAGAAACTAAACAATAGTGCTTGATTCAAAGTTTATTGATTTTATTTCGCTATTCCTGAGAACCAAATGAAGCCGCCCTTGAGCCAATAATAAAATGATCAATAATTTAAATTTATATATATATATATAGCAAGTGCATTAACTTTTCAAATCAATATATGCGGTTTCTGTCAGGATTATCATACTTCTAATTTTCAAGGCATAGAATGATATAATCAACGTGTGTGAAACCAATTGGACTGTCTCAAGTTTTGCTCATTATTGCCCTAGTTGAAAGGTTGAAACAACTAGATAATTAAGAACTGTGAATGTGATTAGATTATATATATGAGGATTGATTTGATTGGCATCTAGTCTCTAAATAAATACCACAAAAGCTTCTAAGATAATTGTAGATACATTAGGCCTTATCGTTCATAATTCCTTCTAAATTTTTTGAAGGGCAACAGGAGTCATGAGAAGAATTTGAAATCGATTCTTTATAAAAATATACTGTCTGAGGAAAGGATTAATTGAAACAGGTATGAAGTTCCTTCTCAAATGATCATGATTTAATTTTCATGGTTTTATAACATATTAACATGAATTTAGACTTATTTTGACTTCATGCAGTCAAAGACTTACATATATTTGTAAGCTAAACTATTCACTAAACTTTCAATTTGATTTCATTTTGTGAAAAGAAAAAAAATTTAAAAAATGAAGAGAAGAAAATTATAAAGGAATAAATGCTCTCTTGCTCCTTGTTTCTAAGCTACACATAAATCACAGCTCAAGGAACTACTAGCAAGTACCATAAACTACATGATAAGTAAGAAAACTATTTAATTAACGCAAGTGTTCCGTATAAAAATCTGAAACTTATTCCTTCTATATTACACATCCTCTGGAAACAAAATAAAATTGAAATAGGACAGAAAAGAGGATTGAAATAAGATTAAAAAGGCTTTAGGGAGTATTTTTGTCTTTGATAATGTTTGAAGATTATAGTCTACGTATGTGTACTTAATTTACAGTCTCTTTCTCTCTTGGTTAGGCCTAAAGCACGCAAGAAATTTTTTCTACAAAAATATTAGAAGGAAGACGAGAAGAAACCCATTTATCTGCTGCGAAACCGCAAGAGCTCAAGAATGAATATAACAACCACCGCAAAAGCTTCGGAGACATTATTAATTGTTCCCAAAGCATGTTGTGCTCTAATTTGAAAGTTATTGGTCTAGACAATAGAATTTATCACTTTTGTGTTATTGTTTTAAAAGACAAACACAATTGATAAACGGAATGGAACATTGCTCTAGAAGCACTTAATAATTTTTCAAAGTTTAAGACCGAAGAAGACCTAGGGTTTCAACCAGTATATGCAAGAATGAGAATTATATGGGGGTGGGGGCAGCAAAAAGAGGATTATATGGGGGCAATTCCAAAATTAGATAATACCAATATATTAAGCTATTGTAAGGTCGCATTCAATGTTGCAGTCATGGAAGACAACCAATCAATTTGTCCATTGCCAAATGATGTCCATTAAGATAATTAGACCCAGCTAAAGCCAAGCCAAGCCAATCAAGTTTCTCCGAATGCCCATGAAAGCAAGAAAAAAAAATAAAAATAAAAAAATAAATAACAAGAAAAAAAAAATTAAAAAAAAAATAAAGGAGAAAAGGGACAGCTCATTTCCCTCATTAGGATAAGACCCATGTCCAAACAAAAGCATCAAAGAAACTAGCCATGTAACCCCACCAGCATAAAAGACCAAAACATGACTTCTTGAATGTGTTCATGTACATGCATGTAATCTATACATATATAACATGCTAATCAATTAATGTTAGTATATGTAAAAAATTAATTAAAATATATCAAAATATATAAAATGTCTACTAAAATTCTATTTTTTTAAAGTTATTTTATTTTTAATAAATGTTCATGGATAGTTAATTTAACCTTATGATATATATATTTATATAAATCGCATGATATGTGGGTGGGGGACAACAAAATAAAACGTCACAATAAATAGGTAATGACAATTAGATATACCAATAAATACAGGAGTTTGACAGCCAGGGGGAGGAGTTGAAATATGAAAAGATTGACCTGTGTCCTCTCCATCCATCCATCCATCCATCACCCACTGCAAAACTTAGATTCTCCTTTGTCTCATCCCATCCCTTGAGAAAAATCCCATCTTCAAATGCTCATTTCTCTGCTGCATATGATCATCATTGGAAGCCCCCCCTACAAAAATCACAAACACCAACCACAGATACCAGAGAGAGAGAGAGAGAGAACAAAACAGCAAAATCAAAAGATATGACTAGGGAGATAAATATATATAATCCAAAATAACAATCTCCATGAGTTTGATCAATTTTCATCTGGCTTTCCAACCTCTTGGACATATAGAAAGAGGCTGAGTGAGAGAGAGAGAGAGAGAGGGACATATAGTTGAGTTGAGTTGAGCTAGTACTCATGGGAGTGGTGGTGGTGATAGATTGAGGGGTCATTACAACCACCACCACCACCACCACCTTGGGACCCATGTCGATTCATGGCTTCCCTCTGGTTGTTATTGTGGCTGTTACTATCATCTCCTTCATCCATCTTACACCCCATTTGCGCTGCACCTAGATTCAGATAAACCAACCTTGAATCCAAGTTAAGGTTAGCCATGTTTCCGCTGCTACTGCTACTATTGTGATCATCGCTCATCGGTGGATAAATCGGTGTCGAAGAAGGAGCATTCCCACTTCCTTCTTCCCTTGAAATCACCAAAGCCGCGGATTGAACAAGCTCCAAACAGAGCCTAAGCTTGTTGGGTTCGATGTGGGTTAGCCCCGGCACAGCCCCTTTGAATAGGAAATCAGAAGTTAAGGTTCGAAGCACGTCGAGCGGAGTAATTCCCTCAACTGTCCTAACATTTGGGTCGGCGTGGTGGTCCAGGAGCACCGCTACCATGTCCGGCGACACCATTTCTGACGCGATGTGAAGCGGAGTTTTCCCCGCTAGTCCAGCCGGGTAGTTAACATCGGCTGCACCGAGTTCTAGCAATGCTTTCACCACTTCTCGGCTACAATTTTCGACTGCATAATGTAAAGCTAGTGCTTCGTCGAGGTTAAGCCCTTCGCCCATGACCATGAGTTTGACAAGTTCGACATCAGATGAGTCGAGTGCTCGTCTCATTCGTCGAATTTTCTGGTCTTCAAGCTCAGCGGCCGCACCAAGATCGTGGTGGTGGTGGTGGGGCATGAGGGATCGGCGAGCGAGCGATGATTTTAGGCGGAGCTCTTCGATCTTCGTCACGACTTCGATGGGGAGGTGCCTGGCTAGGACTTCTGGTGCGAGGCCAGACTTGGCGACCAAATGAGAACAAGTAGTCCAAAGTTGGTGCATTTCTTGCTTTCTTGAAGCTATTAAGACTTTCATAACATCCTCAATTGAGGCCTTCTCCACCATGCTTGCCAATTGCTTCTGGAAAATATGAGAAAAAGCAAAGAAAAAAAAATGAATAGGGTTATAAGATTTTAACAGTAAGAGACATTCAAGTTCAACTAGTTGTTTTGCATTGTTGAATGATGGTGTGTTTGTGCAAATTTGTGATTAGGTAGTCCTTTTGGAATAGTTTGTTTTCCCTTCCAATCTAAAGCCAAATGAGGAAAGTAGATTGTTTGGGACAGATTTGGTGTGATCACTGTGGAAGACAAGACTAAAGATTTAAGATCTAAATTTAGAAAGGCTTTTGTGTGGAAGATAAAGATTGAGAAACCCAATTCAAGAAAAGACTCCAAATGGTACATGAAATCAAAGATAACCCTTCTCATGACATATATGATAGATATATCACAACAACATTCTACCCAAGAAATAGAAAATAAGAAAAGAAAATAAAAGAAATCTGGGTTTTCTATCAGATGTAAAAGCTTAACATGGGAAGAATTGAATTCCATCAAAGGCTGCCAAGAGAAAGGAGAAATCTTGTTGCAGGAAAGAGAAAGTACTGATGTCTTGTGAGATAATCAAACCCAACCCAACTGCTTCAAACGGAGAAGAATTAATATAAAAATTAATTCCCAAGGATCCAATACACCCACTTCACAAAATTTAAATTAAGGAAAAAAAAAAAAAAAACACTAGAAGAACCCACCTGAAAAAATCTCATCCCACCACCACTCCCCCAAAAACCAAAACCAGTAATTGCCCACAGAATCAAAACCCACAAACAAATGACCCCATAATCTAGAGAGAGAGAGAGAGAGAGAGAGAGAGAGAGAGATTGGTGATGAAGAAAACAGACAAGGAAAGGAAACCTGAGTGAGCAATGCGAGCTGTTCAACACCAAAGGATCTAGCGGCAGAGAGGGTGTCAAGAGCAAGATCAACGGCAGAGGTGCAATGTGTGTGCCAACAGGCTCTCTCGCCACAATTAGGCCTAGGCTCATGCTTCTGAGGAACAATGGAGACTTGGCCACTGTACAAGAACTGAAGCATCAACAAGAACACTTCATATCCCACTGAATTCACCGGTATTACCTGCGGAGGATTCGACCCCCTCGGCGACGATGCCAACCCTCCCCCGGCCGCCCCAATCCTCGACATGTCCAAACCCGCCGGAGTTTCTGGCCCGCAGAAGAATTTCCTGAAGAAGAGGCTCCTCGCTGCTAATATGCACCTGTGGGCATGGACTAGCCTACCCTCCACACTGAATGTTACATCACTGAAGGCCTGCCCATTGATTAGCAGGTTTAGATAGTCCAGAGACAGAGATCTTAAGGACTCTTCAAGGGTCATGGTTTTTTTTTTTCTTGAGAGAGAGAGAAAAGGAGGGAGATGGGTTTTCTTGATATATATATCTATGTAGATGAAGGGTGAATAGGAGGTGAAGAGGGTTAAGAGGAGAGAGAGAGGGGAGAAGAAAGAGAAAAGCTTGGTGATTTCATCTCTTTTCTTCTTCTTCTACTACCATCTGATGATGTACTGTTAAATTTCTTGGGAGAATCTCTCAGTGGTGTTGTCTAGTTAGATATTTTTTTGAGAGAGAGACAGACAGAGAGAGAGAGAGAGAGCAATTTGGGTGGCTATTCTGGGCGGCTGAGGTACTTAAAAAAAGAAAACATAAATATGATTTAATGAAAAAAATATAATTAAATGAAAATAGGAGAGAGAGAGATATATATATATATATATATATATATGATGGGAGAGGTATTAGAAAATACAAATTGACTAAAAATGAAATGAATATTGATTAGGTGATGTTAATTCTTGATTGGGTCTTGTTAATAATGGTTTTAGGGCAGAAGAAGAGACAAAAGATATGAAGAAAATAAGATATTTTTTTATTAATTTAAAATGATTTTTTTATTGAATTTAAAAAATTTCAAATTTTTTAGTGTATTCAAAATCTCTTTATACAAATTTTAATATTAATAATAATTTAGAGACAATTGTTATATTTGCATTCTTGATTACTATCTAATTATTACTAATAATTTTATACTGAAGTGTTAAGTGTAAGTTTAAAATTAATATATTATAAATTACATAAAAGGTGTATATTTATTTTTAAATAAAATTTGGAATAATTGCAAAACTAAATTATTACATCTTCTCGAAGAAGATACTCCATATAAAGAGAACAAGCACTTTGACCTAAGCAAATTTTACTTTCCAACTTTGTCTAAGGTGTAATTACTCTCTAAAAAGTAATGCTATATAATTGTATTTTTTAAAAATTCAAATTTCATATATTTATTGATATGGTGCTTATTATATTTTAAAATGATTTTTGCTTCAAATTCATCAATATAGGCCCATTTTGGCAACAATGTTGCTATCTCTTGCTTACTGCTTTGCTACTCCTCCGCCAACTCTATTTTTTGTCTGTTAATCTGTTTCCAGGCTGAGGAGTAATTTTCTAGAGAAAGATGTCACCATAACCAATGTCAGAGGTATCAGTTTGAATAATTTTAAATGAATTTTTAGTAAGAATACCAAGACAAGAAAGATACTTGACATATTGTTTGACTTGTTTAACAATAGCAGTATAAGTAGAAGACCAAGGAGGAGGATTGTCTTTTAATCGATCAAACAGAGGTTGACAAGTTTTCCTAATGTCTTTGTAAAATTTAGCAATATAATTCAGTGATCCTAAAAAACGTTGTAACTAGGTTTTATCTAAGATTTTATCAGAAAATTTAGAAGCAAATTCAATAGAACGATTAATTGGTAGAATTGTATTCTGGTGAATATCATATCCTAAAAATCTAACTTTAATTTTGAACAATTTAATCTTAGGAGCAGATATGACTAAATCATGACTTTTAATAGTATAAAAGAAAGCGGTAAGATGTTTCCAATGTTCACTAAGTGATTTTGAAAAAATGAGAATATCATCTATATAAACTATGAAAAAATGACTAAACGGATTGAAAATATCATTCATTATATTTTGAAATTCACTAGGTGCATTTTTTAATCCAAAAGTCATGACATTCCATTCATAGTGACCAAAAGGTGTAGTAAAAGTAGTTTTATATCTATCTTTAAGATGAATTTGTATTTGCCAAAAATCACTTTTTAAATCAAATTTACTAAAAATAACAGTTTGACTTAGTCTTTTGATTAAGTCTTTTTTAGTAGGAATAGTATAGCGAATCCATTCTAAAACTTTATTTAATAGTTTACAATTAATGACTACGCGAGGGACATCTTGTTTTAATTCAGCATTTTTATTAACATAAAAAGCAGGACAAGACCATGGTGATTTAATAGGACCAATAATTCGATTTTTTAATAGTTCATTGATTTCTTTTTTACACATTTCTACTAATTCATGATTTATTTGGATAGGTCGATATTTAGTAGAAATTTGTCTTTCATTAAAATTTTTAGTGTATGGTAAAGTGACTACGTGTTTTTTTCTATGTCAAAAGGCAGTTGGTAAACTAAAATAAACAGTTATTTCTAATTTTAATTTAAATTCTTCAATTTGAGATATAACAACATGATCAGCTAATTGTTGTTCAATGCGTTTATAATTGACTTCTTCTTTGAGAAAACGTAACTGACAAGTTAATCGATTAATAGATTGGGAAATAGAATAGTCTTTCAATTGATTTAATTCCAATACTTCAGGTGGTGATAAGAATTTAAAACTAACTGTTTGTCCAAAAGCTTGGGTTATTATTCCTTCACTAGATGTAGTAAAAAGATATAATAAGAATATAAATGGTGTTCCTAAAATAACTTTATCAGTCATATTTCTAACTAAAACACATGAGGTTTTGAAACAGACATTATGTTGGCATATATGGACTTTGGGTAATTTATATTTAATACGCATTTTACTGCCATTAGCAGAAGTTAATTTTTCTTTTGTTTTTTCGTAATATTTAGTAGGGATTAGTCCTTCTTGAATACAATTAAGATCAGCACCAGTATCAATAAGAGCAATAACGTCTAATTTAAAATTATTAATTACAAGTTTAATTTTAGAGTATCATTTTTGAATATGTATTTTATTGAAAAGATTTAATCTTTTGTTTTCATGATTGTGAGATTGATGTGATCGATTATCAGATAAAAGATTATCAGGATTAGTATGTTCAGATTCATTATCAGATTCTTTTGGGAAAATGGCATCATTAGCTTGGAAATTATCTAAACTTTTATTAATTTTTAAAACAGTAATCTCATCTTCTAATAATTTATCTTTATTTTGTAAATCTTTGATGGTTTGTTTAATCTGATTAATTTCATGTTGTAAATCCTGTAATGTAATTTCTTTTTCTTTAGTTTTAAATCTTTCTAAGGTTTTGGATAAACTAATAATTGGTTTATCAAACTTAGGTTTCTTATCATGATTGGTTAGTAAAGATTTTAATTTATCAGTATATTTTTGTTTTAATTCGGGATCTTCTAAACGACTAATTAATTCAATAAGAGTAGTTTCTTCTTGATTTTGTTTAGTAAGAACAGTGATTTGTTTAACAGGTTTACAACAAACATCATTACATCCTATTTTAATATTATTATCTGAATCATCACTAGGTGAATGGTAATCAGATGAAGTATCAAGATTATCAGAAGATGAATTACTAACAGATTGGTTTAATTGAAAATTTTCATATAATTGATTTTTTGTATAGCGATCCCGGTTTTCCCTTCATTGTTTAATTGTATTCCGGACTCGGTTCCGTGGATGTGTTGTTGTCTTATTTCCGTTTCCATCCTTTACTCTTTGTATATGAGTCTTGGGTCGTGTTGGGCAGGTTTGAAACAGGTTGGTTGTGTTTGGAAACCAAGGGTTGATGTCCAGATTTTGGGCTTGACGCTTGAGCGGACCTGTTTGTATATCAGTCCGAAAAACAGCTTTTTAGATCACTTTTTCGGGCCATTCTCTCTCTCTCTAACTTTTCAAAGATTATGCATGATTATACTAGATTCATCTCATTAGTAAGATACATGTACATCAATTAGATGGTGACTAATCATTGATACCTATATATACAATGTATAGAAGACTACTGCTAATACATTGAATGTGATGGATTTATTATGAATGAATCTTAGAGATGCATTACGTATCTATTATGAATATGTAAGATACATTAATCTATCTAATGAATTCATTAATATAGAAGATGCATTATGTATCATGAATGTATGAGATACATTAATCAATTTAATGAAGTTCATTGAATGAATAACTTGAGAGTTTCTCTCTCTAGACTACATCTTCTCTCTATAAATACATCTAGTTCTAGTGATCTTCTACCCTAGTTCCTTTGTATTGAGTGTGGAGCTTCCCTTGATCTTCATTTTAATATGAAAGTTTGGCGATTTGGAGCACTTTGGTTTTTGGCCTTCATCTTCTCCATTTGAGGTAGGGATTTCTTTGTTCTTTTTCAATACTCCGTCTATAGATAGACATGTGGTAATTTTGTATTGCATGAAAATCATATCCGTGTTGGATTTGTTTGAAAATCATGAGGGGAACCTAGGGTTGGTTGCTTGAGAATGGTTTTGTTATCATTGACTGTGGTTTGGACTAATTAGAGAATAAAATTAGCATGATATTATTGAAAGAAGCGAAAGCCCTAAATTATATTTTGATTTGGTAAAATAAAAAGGGTTTATGGTTGAACAATGTTGGTAAATTTCTATTGTTAATATGAGTTGTGTAGAAGGTGTTAACAGTTAAAGGATTAATTATGGTATTGGAGTTATTTTGAAATGAACGTAATGAATCAAGTTGGGTTATAGCTTATTATCCATGGAAATGATTTTGTAAAATGAAGAGAATGTAATTGGTTTTGTAAAAAGGAAAAAGTGTTTTTGGAATAAGTGATGGAACATGTTGACTTGAAAAATTAAGAAAGTTGATCTTGAAAATGGTAAATGAAATGTTAACTCTATGTGAGTCTCAGAAAATAAATTTGAGAATTGAACTATTGTATCATGAGTGTTGAATACACACATTTGGGGGTTTTATCTTTACCTATCATACTAGTGTCGTTGTTGGGTTTAAGGATTGCTTGAGAGTTGAGTCTCTTTTATTAGGTGTACTGAATACATGCATCTAGAGGTTTTGTCCTTGGTCATCGGTGGAGGATGACATTGTTGTGTTGAATTGTGATGCATGCATTACACTTGTGTTGGGTAAACATTATTGAATAGTTTATGTGCATGTATTACACTTGTTATTGATGCTTTGTTGTATTGAGGAATTTGTACATGATAATCGCTTATATACATTGTTTTGTATGGGAGGAGATAGGGGATGTACTCCACGATTTAGGGGAAGATAGGGGATGGACCTCTAAACCGGAAACTGTTTGATATTGATACAGCACTAAAATGTGTATCAAACTGGAAGTATGAAGTGTTTTGATTTGAGCCTGAGTCTCATTTGTTTGTTGACATTGGAAGAATGTGAA